CTCACACACACACATACACACGCACACACACACCATGGTAAAAAAAACCACTCAGATGCCAGGCATTAATGAATACAATATTATGGGGTTATTGTTTTAGCAGTATTTAACTTCTGCAGTTCAATTTATATTTAAACACCTCATTTGTGCTATATACAGCAATATATGTTAAATTATTATGTATCTATGTAGTGCAGCTTTCATGAAGAAATTACTGAATGCATAATGCAAAAGCTGCTTGCACAAAAGTTATACCGCATGGCATATGGCAACATTAATTTTAGTCTTTTTGCTTTCCTTAGCTTGGCACTGAAAATCTACCATGAGTGTTCATAGCTTTTGACAGTTTCCATTATACTCTGGTTTTTAGGTAGGGCTGGCTGGCTGGCTGACAATTTCACAAATATTTACTATTCTCTAATTTTAAAAAGATAACCAATAATTTTTCATAAACTCTCTATCTTTCTTGCTATGACTGTATTGCTTTAGCACTGTTTGTTCAATTAGCCTTACTAATTTGTATGGTCTTAACATCTATATAACATTTTTCCTAAAGGTTAAATGTTGCATGGGAATTTAATCACATATCTCACAGAGAAGACAATGGAGCTGGCTGGCTAAATCTAGTATACCTCAGAATTATCTATTTGAAAACAATCATAAGTGCAAAAATAGTTCCTTTGATAGCCCACCAAAATGAACTCTATTTATGTATTTATTCCAAGAACAAATGACTTGTAGACAAAACAATATTATAGGATCCAAAAAGGAAACACTCTACAAATATAGCTTGCTGGAATACTACCATGTATAAGAATTGGAGAGAAGCCTCAAATTTAGTTGTCTTCTCTCTGGTATTAAAGTGAAAGGTACCAGGAGACAGGCCAAAGTGGTTCCTAATGACCACATCTAAATACCAAACAAAATACCATTAATAAAAAATTTTAAATGGACATCTTAAGTCTCTCTGTTGGAGGTTGGGGATTCAATAACAATATTAGTGACTGGAGAAAGAGAAGGTTTGGCTGTGTAGTAGAAAGAAAGAGTATGAAAGCAAGGGCCTAGTACAAGGTCTGAACCAAAGCAAGCAATAGTTATACTACAAGTAACAATCAGGCCCTGTCAAAAGCAGATGTTTTCCTGCAAGTCAATGTCACGGACATGGACGTGACATGAGTATTGCCAGCACTGGTAAAACACACGGAATATGTAAATACATTCTTCCAGGACACTACACGGACATCCAAACCTAACGTGGTAAAATGAATTGACAAAAGTGATGAATAATGATATTTTGTTTGAAACATCAGAAACTAAAGTACAATGACAGGTGGTGAATAGGAATGCTTTCTCTGAAATACCAGGAGGAAAGTAAAAAGGGAGGTAAACATGTCATGAAATGTATGAGATAATAGTTAAGGTGTGTATCACAGACTGTTTCAATCTATAAATATTGGGACACCTCATCTTAACTCTTTGTCCTACTTAGGAGGCAGTGGAAAAAAGTCATCACTGAGTTGAGTATGTTGCAACAAACATGTGTGTTAGCATAATAGTAGACATCTGATTCAGGGAGCTAGCACTATGCTTCATTGACAATAAAACTGGCCTGGGTGCTTTTGTATGTTATGTGATTTTGAGGTCCTCGGAGGGTTCTCTCAGAATCAGTTGTTCTGGCTATCCATGCGGAACCAGCACAACACACGGGAGAAGCACATGTACACTGCCAAAAAGTTACCGTTTGACAGGGCAGAATACCTGTCAGAATACCATCCCAGTGACTTCTGACTACAGGTTGTTAAGCATGGAAGAGCAGTTTTTCATGAAGGCAAGTAAAGATTCCAATACCAACCCTCCTCTATATTTAGACTATAATGTCTGAATATCATTCTCTTCAACCCCCATCAGCTACAGATCTTATGGCAAGATAGTAAGGAGGTTGTAAAAGTTTCAAATGGTGCAGTCCTAGATGAGACCTCTATCCAGCTGCACTGAATGCCCCCAAATGGAGAACAAAAATATACTACTTTAGGGTGCTTCTACTTCAGAGTTATTTCGGAATAACAGCTGTTATTTCAAAATAAGAACATGAGCATCTACACAGCAATTCTGTTATTACAAAATAAATTCAAAATAATGGATGGCTTATTCCAAATTCCGTAAACCTCATTCCCTGAGGAATGATGCCTAATATAAAATAGCGATTTTGGTATAGCAGTAGTGTGAATATTCCACTGCTGGCATTTGGAAATAGCTATTCCCCAGGGCCATTCAAACTACTCCCCAGTGCTTTCTGGGGCTCTAAATCATGGTAGCACATAAAATCTCAAGTAACTTTAAAATTGGCATGAACTTTTTAAGTGTGCCACTGTAAACACACAAAAAAAGAAAAAGAAACCAAAAATGTCAACTGAGTTTAAAAAGACCTGGCAATGTTAGAACAAATATTAGGTTATTTAGGGGTTTCTAAAACAAGGAATCCTTGCTTTTTACATACAAATCATAAGTGAACATAAATATGTGGAACTATTCTTCATACAAATACCTCAAGGTTGGTTGTTGGGGTTTTTTTGGGGCCATAAAATGAGGTACAGTATTAAAATGGTTTAAAGATACTACAGCACAACAACCCCCCCTTTCCTTCATATAATTTGTGTAATAGCAAAGACATTTAGATATATTCCAATGTTAGAAGCATCTCAGTCATTACGAATGACACATTACAATACTTGCTACTCTTTGATAATCAGATTAAAGATAGAAATGGTTTTCCACATACTTTAGGTGGTTTGGTTACAACTGTTAGTCTTAGCCTGCTAATGCAATGCTGAAATCTCACTACAAGAAAATGTGAGCCTGGATTGTGTAAGTAATAATTCAGAAGCCAATTCCTGCCCACTTCCCTTTCACTGTGACCAATTCTTGTTTATAAAAATAGCACAATAAGCAAATAGATCATACTTAAACTTTATGGCTAGTAATTAGTATTTTACACGTGAAGTAAATGTTTAATTTATTTAGAAAATTATTTTTTGTTCATCAGAATACCACTTAAAATGGTAAAAAGGTTAAAAAAAACCACGATATGGCTCTTGTTCGAATCCTAACAAAAAGGAAAATAAATTCAATTAATCATTTATTAAAGCTTTAATCTGGTCCAGGATTTTTACTTTGTGATCTGAAAGCACAGCCTGCACCAGTGCAACAGCGTTACTAACACTAACAGCAGCAAAGCAAAACAAAACAAAACAAAAACAAAAAAAACCCTGATAATATTAAAAATAAAACATTAAGACTTAGACCAGTATCTCTACTAAAAAAATCATGTGAACTGTAGCTATTTTCTAATGGTAGCATGGAATGTGGACATGTTTTCCTAAGTGCTTAAAGCTTCTGGTGTGCACATTAGGTATTAGAAACGAAAAAACATCATACAAGACAAGCACCAAAAAGTCTTTACTATTTCTTGATTGTCAAAAACTTCAAAACTTCATAAAAACAAAATCTCAGTGAAAACAGTAAAATGTAAAATCATTTTACCAATTTTTCACTTTGAGCAGTTTGCCTGGTTTTGAGAGTTTTCTTCCTTCATAAAACTTAGAAATCATTCTTAAAAAACACAATAGCAAATTATTTCCCAGTTACCAGCTGGGAAAGGATTTTTGCTCCTCAACTGTGCTATGAAATCAGGGTTCTCAGATTTTGTGGCACTACTACAATACGTTTAATTACAAATTGTCTTTGACTTGTTTACTGGTGGGTGAGATACATTGACAGCTTGAGCAGAACTCCCTATTCTTAGCTATAACTAGCCAATTAGCCTGCCATAACATGGAATTTTCAGGTCTCTCCTCCACGTCGGTCTTCTCTCCTGAGCCTCCGGTCCCTCGCTCCATCTCTCTCTTTCTCCTACTGCCTCCCCCTCTCTTTCTCTCAGATCTCCTCCCCCTCCTGCCTCTCACTCGGGGGACCATGGAGCCCAACAGGTCGCTTGCGTCACTTGTTCCTGTGCGGCAGCCTGGCTGCGCCCCGCTCTCTGGCCATGTACGTCACCGCCCCGCCCCCCTTCGCCTCCCGCCTTGGCGCTCGGCTGACTTCTGCGCCGCTCAGCCGGGCCACCGCGGGGCAGCAAGCGGCCGTTTGGGCCCTGCGCTCCCCATGGAGCAACCCCATGCTGCATGGAGACCGCAGCGCCCAAACGGCCGCTTGCTGCCCCGCGGTGGCCCGGCTGAGCGGCGCAGAAGTCAGCCAAGCGTCACAGCAGGAGGCTAAGAACGTGACTCAGGCAACAGAGCCACCCAGAAGGAACAGCCAGGGAGGCAACAGTGCCGCCCAGAGGGAACAGCCAGCATTTCAGTGTTACAGAGTCACAGACATTGGGCTACTATATATATGATTGTAAAGATTATCTTATCCATGAGAAAAAGGGTAAGAGAAATCTTTTAAAGTCAATCACCATGGATAATGACTACTCAGAACCAGAGTATTTGCTTACTCAGCATGGTCAACACGATGAACTCATCCAAATAAAAAGTTCCCTAAAATAAAAGCTGTAGAATATTTGAAATTCTTGTATCAAAAAATTGAACAAGTTGTATACATTATCCTTTGATTCTTCAAAGTTTCGAAAGTCAAATTCCAACAAACTAAAAAATGATTGAAAATTCCTTTTATTCCAAGCATATACATTTCAGGCACCTTATAATGCCTCTGCCACCCAATTTGCTGAATGTCATTTTGACACATTTGCCATTCTTTCAATACTTCCTCTCTTTGTTTGGTTGGATCATTTCAACCCCTTTTGGCAGCAATTTGTCTTTTGTTCATACCTGATAGCAGAGCAGTACATAAGACTGCAGATTGTTGCTAATAATCCTCTAGCGTAAAATATTTATGCTGTTTAAGGTGAGATATAAAATGAATTAATTGGTACTGAAAGCAAAATTAGCTACTTGATTGTAGGAATTTTCTGGTATAAAGATAAAAGGCTTAATGATTACCTTTGTGCCTGGGTGGTATAGCTGTTATCATAGGAGTCATAACCCTGCTCATCATAAGCAGTACCATATCCATCATCATAGTCCTGAAAATATAATAGAAAAGTAATGTTAAAATTTAATGACCACACTTTATATGAACAACACTATCCACTGAAATCTAAATTCATGCAACAAGATGTAAAGCATGGATCTACAGAATTTTAAAATGTACTTAATACACACACTGCATCTATCCAAGAGGTATCATAAAGATTTATGTAGTTACTTTGGAGTTAAGTTTGAAATCTTGGTGGCAACCTATCTTGTGCTTTTAAGATATATTAGTATGTTGAATAAATCATGGCTTATCACAAAGTAACTGTGGTTCTTCAACAACGCAGCCTCTGCATATTCACAACTATGGTATGTTTGACCTTCAAGAAACCAGTGTCAGTTCCAGACTGTCTATGGCAACAAACTTTGGACCTGAGGTTATAAAAAGGCTATGCAAATCCAAATGCCTTGGTTTTTTTCCACTACACTCAAGAATCCTGTAAGAGTATAACCCTGAAAAAGAGAGAGGCTGACAGCATCCTTGAGAACCAGAGTTACAAACTTCAGTTACCATTTCTACTTCTTCAAGTAGTTTCTGCATAGTCCCACTTGCGGTAGTTTACTAAACTGTACAACCCCAGTGAAGGAGAGCAGAGATCTAATTAAACAAGGATTGCAGAGTGGTTCTCCCAAAGCTAGCATCAGACCTAGATCCTAAATTGAGACAGTAGTGTTGTATGAAGTTCAGGAAGGACCCTTCCAGATAAAGAAAAGAATAAAAAGAGGTGCACCGTGATATTGGCTTACACCTGGTATAGTGAATTCTACAATTATAAAGAACTGACACCTTAGATATTTTGCAACATGACTCAATGCACAGTCTAATTCACTGATGCACGTACTGACTGGAAACTGCACTTCCTTCAGATTATTCCCCCAAAGTCCCAAAAATGTTGGCTAGCTAAAATCAAGTTATTTTATTACCCAAATAACTCAAAGGCTTTTCTTGTCATCTCAGGTATCTAACCCTAGTTCCCCAAGGTAAGAAGAAAGCTACAGGAAGAGTTGGGAGACTGATGATCTAACTCAGATGAAATTAAAACATCACATTTTGAATACATTTAAGATGAAGATACAGGACATTTCCATGTAGATATATTGTAGTACAAATGGTGTTTTTCAAATTAAATGAATACTGTCATAAGATCTCCAATTGTACAATCATGTCATGATGAAAAACACTAAACCCTTTCAGGAATCGTTTGATGACAGAAAGCCAATAGAAACATCCACTAGGATGGGATGAGCAAAAAAAAAAAAAAAAGACATTTACTTGCACCTCTGCAGCTGTCGGACGATTGCAGCTCTTCTCTTTTAGGCCACGAATCACTGTTCACAGTCAATAGGAACAGCAGGAAGTGGCCCAGATCAGGACACCGCTGCTCATATTGGCAATGAACGGTGATCCGTTGCGAGAGTTGCAATCGTATGATAGCTGCAGAGGCACAAGTAAACACAGAGGTGGGGGCCTGTCAGGGATTAACTTTGTGGACCAGATCCAGACCTCAGGCCAGAATTTGCCCACCCCTGCACTAAGAGATAATATACTAAAATTACAGATAGATGCATCTTGATAGAATATAAGGGGTGGCTGAGACATCAAGTACAATAAATATCCCAAAAGTCAATTATATGGATATGGCTCATGGAAACATTTTCTGATTAAGAAAACATAGATTAATAATTCAACACAGATTATTTCCCATAATGTAGCAGAGCCTCCTCTATTTCCACAGAGCTTTCTACATCAAAAGTAGTCAGTGTCTTATGATGAAAGCAACAGAGATGAATTGTCTCCAGATGGGTAAGACAGTTTTTCTGTAATAACAGGCCTGGTGATGAATGCAGAAGTGGTGACACTGAGATCTAGGAACGTCACGTACCAATACCGGTTGCCCTAGTGTGACCTAGTCAGTATAATTTGAGTGAATGTCTTGTGTCTTTTTATCATCTTTGGAAGTGCTGGAAAGACATAAAAGAATCCCTGGCTCAAATTCAGCAAGAACGTGTCTGCAATAGTCTATCTATCATTGTCCGTTTCAACAAGCACTCAGACTGTTCTTGCAGCTAGAAACTGAGAGCATGTTGCCATATTCTCGGTCAGTCAGATCTGCTGAGTTGCATTTGATGTGTCAGACATCCACCTGACACAGCCATTGCTTCCTGGCAGTATTGTTAACAAGCACCTCATTATTTATTAATGTAATATTTAGACATGTTAACAACATAACCCTTATTCAATGCCAGAAAAGATCTGAGGCAACCTAATAGCCTTGTTCCAGAACAACACTACTATTTCATGTCCTATCCTTTCATAGGCAACTCTATGTGTTACTATCTTTAGTATATGAATACCTTCTCTTTAAATACAATCTTAATTCTAAAAAGTTGGTACGTTTAGTAGGTTTGGATTTTATTTAACCATCCAGTCTCTGAACAGATATTGGACACTTATTTTTAAGTGCTCCCTGTGTAGAACTCAAAGAATGATAAATGAAGGTTACTTCCCTAGAACTGAAAAGTTCTTGGAGAGATTGCATATTCACATTTACACATACTGCACCACAGTGCTTCCTCCAAGCACTGTGTATTAAGGAGCAGATGCACTGCTTCCTTCCCTTGGCATTTCCAAAGGCTATAATAGGTGGACACTGGCTCTCTACCATCTCAGTTCCTTCCACTACAAACTCAGAGGAGCCATAACAGTACGCTAAGAGGGAGATAGGAGAGAAGTGTGAATATGCAGTAGTTTTGAAGAACCTGTTTTAAAACAAAATAAGACACAGAATATCTTACTGCCCCTGTATAAAACTATGGTACACCCACTTCTTGAGTACTGTGTACAGATGTGGTCTCCTCACCTCAAAAAAGATATTTTGGCCTTGGAAAGGGTTCAGAAAAGGGCAACTAAAATGATCAGGGGTATGGAACAGGTCCCACATGAGGAGAGGCTAAAGCGACTGGGACTTTTCAGTTTGGAAAATAGGAGACAGAGGGGGGATATGATAGAGGTATATAAAATCATGAGTGGTGTGGAGAGGGTGAATAAAGAAAAGTTATTCATTTGTTCCCATAATATAAGGACTAGAGGACACCAAATGAAATTAATGGGTAGCAGGATTAAAACTAATATGTGAAAGTTCTTCATACAGCGCATAGTCAACCTATGGCGCTCCTTGCCAGAGAAGGCTGTGAAGGCTAGGACTATAACAGAGTTTAAAGAGAAGCTAGATAAATTCACGGAGGTTAGGTCTATAAAAGGCTATTAGCTAGGGGGTAGGAATGGTGTCTCTGGCCTCTGTTTGTCAGAGGCTGGAGATGGATGGCACGAGACAAATCGCTTGATCATTGTCTTCGGTTCACCCCCTCCGGGGCACCTGGGGCTGGCCACTGTGCAGACAGGCTACTGGGCTAGATGGACCTTTGGTCTGACCCAGTATGGCCATTCTTATGTTCTTATGTTAACTTTTGTTTCTTCTTTAAGTGGCTCTGCATATTCTCTGCAATGGGCACTTAGCATTTGCTTGTCAAAAAACCCAGGAGATGGGAAAAATGACCAAATTAAATAATGACTGAAGCGCTGCTTTACCAAATTTGGCATTTACTCTAGTGAATACATGCACTTACTTCTAGGTAACAGCCAGATTCCTAGCGGGAACCTCTTTAAGAAAGTAAAATATGCCACTAAAGCCATAACAGAATGGAAAAATGCAATAAAGTAAGCACAGGATTTACTGCAAATTTGTAAGATTAAATGACATTGTTTAACCCTTTATTATTGTGAGGTTTTGGGGAAAAAACATACTGGTAAATTATTTGGTTGATAGGAAACTTGCCTGGTAAAACAAAAGGAATCAGGTTTAAGAACCATCTTACCTTTATGGAAAACTAACTAGTAATTTAGCCATCAGGTATACAATTCACTCAGCCTTCTGGCTGTCATTATAGCAGTAATGAAGATCTCTATAATAGACATATAAATTAAAAGAATACTCTGCCAAGAATTAAAAAGGTGTACCCATAACCATAGAGAAAAACAGATTAAGAACCACAGATGGGAGTGAATACTTTAAAGAATACACATTGGCTACCTTTTCATAAACCTTTTGACAGAATCACATGCAGTATCTACCATCAACCAAAGAATAGTAAATATGAAAGAGATGCCAGATGAAACTTTAAAGAATAAGATAATTCTTCAGATTTTAAGTACATTAAATATTCCAAAAATACAGGGTATGGAAGATGAAACCAGACAATAAATTTTTCCCTGCATCCAAGCAACAAATATAGCCTACTTTAAATAGTAACATTTCTAGTAGACAATTTTCTAGAATCAACAAGTACATTCTGAACCAACAAGGAATATGACTGTTTAAGACTAGTTAAAGTCCAATAGTAGGTGATAGATGAAGCAACAAAGGATCTGGCTGAACGATCCTTGTAGCCTTGTTGCTATAAGGCGACATCTGGAGCTAAATGAAGATACAGGAAAAGTTTGACTGAAATCTGAAAGCTATGTCTATCTCCACTAAGCTGCTGCAATCAATATAATTTCCTCTTCACCAATGTCTGTATCAATGGAAAGTAGAGGAGGGCATACTCTTAATGTAGAAGGATTCTCTCTCTCTCTTAAACAGAGGAGGAAAAAAAAAACCCTCTTGATCTTCATAGCAAATAGGCTTCATCAGCCTAATCCCAACATGAAAAAATTGTCTCATGCTACTCAATCTTCCAGAACCACTCATGAATTTGAGTACTGCTCCTGTTGACAATCTACTAGCACACTGCTTTCTGCCACCAACTTCAGGATCACTAAATTGGTGCATGTTTTGTGATCTGTTACGTAATCCGTTTCACCACACAACTAGAAAGAAAGAGGACTTGTTTGTTCATGTAAGCCATAGTGCGTGTATTGTCTGTCGATACTTGAATGACCTTTTATTTGAAGAAGGAAAGATCTAAAGACCAAATGAATGGTTCTTAATAC